TGTTCTGAAATACTGAAAATACCATGATGAGCAAGACTTGGAGGATCTCCATCCTTGGCAGCTTCTATTCTAGAACTGTCCATAGACTGTTGCACTTTCTTCTCACCATTTACTTGAGACAACTATAATTACTATGCCACCTTTAAAGAAGAACATTAGACCAGCCTGGCCAACAAGGTGAAACCTCATCTCCACTAAAAATACAAAAACTAGCTGGGCACAGTGGTGTGCGCCTGTAATCCCAGCTATTCCAGAGGCTGAGGCGGGAGAATCACTTGAACCCAGGAGGCAGATGTTGCAGTGAGCCGAGATCACGCCGCTGCATTCCAGCCTGGAGCGAGACTCCGTCTCAAAAAAAAAAAAAAAAAGTAAGAAAAAGAAGAACATTAAGGGGGAAAAAATAATTCTTCAATAAAGAATGAATGCTGGCCAGGTGCAGTCGCTCACACCTGTAATCCCAGTACTTTGGGAGGCTGATGCGGGTGGATCACCTGAGGTCAGCAGTTCGAGACGAACCTGGCCAACATGGTGAAACCCCATCTCTACTAAAAATTCAAAAATTAGCCAGGCATGGTGCCACATACCTCTAATCCCATCTACTCCAGAGGCTGAGGCAGGACAATTGCTTAAGCCTGGGTGACAGAGGTTGCACTGAGCCGAGATGGCACCACTGCACTCCAGCCTGGCCGACACAGAGAGATTCTGTCTTGAAAAAAAAAAAGAATGGATGCAAACTGAGTTTGCAGAACAAGTCTGAGTAGATTCGGGACAGCACTACTTCTCTAACTCCATGGTAGTAGAAAGAAGAACCAGGCACTCATTTGTCACAGAGGATGTAGATAGGTACACCCTTTTCAAAAATGTTTTGCAATTTCTTTCAATATTTTAAATTTGTGTATCTTCTGATCAAGTAATGCCAATCTTATGAATTTGTCCTATAGAACGTGCACAAATAAGGAAGGGCATGAGTACAAAGACATAAGTTTAGCCGGGCGTGGTGTCACATGTCTGTAGTCCCAGCTTCTCACGAGGCTGAGGTGGGAGGATCATTTTGGGTCCAGGAGTTCTGGGCTGTAATGCGCTATTCCTATGGGTGTCCACACTAAGTTTGGCATCAATATGGTGACCTCCTGGGAGCAGGGGACCACCAGGTTGCCTAAGAAGGGGTGAACCGGCCTAGGTCAGAAACAGGGCAGGTCAAAATCCCAGTGCTGATGAGTAGCAGGATCTCGCCTGTGAACAGCTACTGCACTCCAGCCTGGGCAACATAGTGAGACCCATCTCTACTAAAAGAAAATTTTTCACTTTTTAAAAAATAAATAGGCCAGGCGCAGTGGCTCACACCTGTAATCACTACACTTTGGGAGGCCGAGGCGGGTGAATCATCTGAGGTCAGGAGTTCAAGACCAGCGTGGCCAACATGATGAAACCCCATCTCTACTAAAAACACAAAGCATTAGCTGGGCATCATGGTGCACGCCTGTAATCCCAGCTACTCAGGAGGCTGAGGCAGGAGAATCACTTGAACCCAGGAGCCGGAGGTTGCAGTGAGCTTTGATCGCGCCACTGCACTCCAGCCTGGGCAACACGAGCAAAACTTCACCTCAAAAAATAAACAGAAATTTATAAATAAATAAATAAAAATGAAAGACATAATTTTAGCATTATTTGTGATACTGAAAAATGAGAAATAAAGTAAGTGTCCATCAGGATGAGATTGAATAAACAAATTATGGTATGTCTATATAACGGAATACTATGCAAGTGTTTTCAGTGATGTAGACCTACATGTATAAATTTGGAAAAATATCAGTGAAATACTAAGTCAAAAAAGCAAGTCGTTTTTGAAAAAAAGGTATAGTTTTCTATAATACAGCCAACATTTCAAGTGTCCTGAACACCTTACATGCATTATCTTAAGTGATACTATTATCTTCCTCACTTTATAAATGAGGAAACTGAGTTAAGCAGTAACTTGGTCAGTGAATGCAGACATCTGGCTTTGAACGAATGTGCTTAGTCACTTCACTACACCAAGGCGGTAATTAAGTCCCCCTTTAGCTTAGGTTAGTTCGAGTTGGGATTTCCCACTTTCAATCAAGAGAATCCTAATAAATAATCCAGATATAAGTCAACAGAGACTGGATAAATTATGGCACAATAACAGGATACTGTGTAGCTGTTTTAAAGAAGAAACAGGCTGGGCATGGTGGCTCACGCCTGAAATCCCAGCACTTTGGGAGGCCAATGAGGCAGATCCCTTGAGGTCAGGAGTTCCAGACCAACCTGGCCAACATGGTGAAACCTTGCCTCTACTAAAAATACAAAAATTAGCCAGGTGTAGTGGTGGCATGCCTATAAGCCCAGCTACTCCAGAGGCTGAGGCAGGAGAATCGCTTGAACCCGGGAGGCAGAGGTTGCAGTGAGCAGAGATTGTGCCACTGCACTGCAGCTTGGGCAACAGAGCAAAACTCCGTCTCAAAAAAATAATTTTTTTAAAAAGGAGAAACAATATATATCGATATGAAAACAAACCCAATATTTAAGAGTAAAAGCAAGTTTACAGGACAGTTTGTGTGTGCACATGTGTAATTTTGTATACATGTGTACTTAGAGAGAAAAGACATTTCAAAACAGTTTTGGGTGCCTCTGGAGGCTAGGATGGGCAAGACTCTCACTCTATTTTTATATAATTCTGCATCTTTTTTTTTTTCATTTATTTATTTATTTACTAGAGATGGGGTCTTCTACGTTGTCCAGGCTGGTCTTGAACTTCTGGCCTCAAGTGATCCTCTTGCCTCAGTCTCCCAAAGTGCTGGCATTACAGGGATGAGTCACTGCACCCGGTGCGTATTTTTCTTTTTAATTTTCCAAAAAGCATATATGATTTTTTTTTTTCAAGATGAAGTCTTGCTCTGTCAATGCAGGCTGGAGTGTAGTGGTGCGATCTCAGCTCACTGCAACCTCCACCTCCCAGGTTCAAGTGATTTTCCTGCCTCAGCCTCCCGAGTAGCTGGGATTATAGGCACGTGCCACCACGCCCAGCTAATTTTTGTATTTTTAGTAGAGACAGGGTTTCACCATATTGGCCGGACCGGTCTCAAACTCCTGACCTCGTTATCTGCCCGCCTTGGCCTCCCAAAGTGATGAGATTATAGGCAAGAGCCACCACGCAGGCCCAGGCTCAGTTTTAAATGTGTTCTATCACCTTAGGCAAATGTGTTTGCCTTTGTGGGCCTGTTTTCTCCTCTCTAGGAGGGGTGTCTGAAACAATAGTAGTACCTATTTCAGTGGCTTCTATATGCCAAGCACTATGCTAAACAGTTTCCTCACCACAGCTCCAGGAGCTAAACATCAACTCCATTTCCAGATACGAAAACTGAAACACAAGTGTTGGAATCAGAATGAACTCAGATTTAGCTCACCTCCAAAAACCAGGTTCTCCCCACTATCCCACTCTCCCAGCTACCTCTTGCCACGTGTCTCACAATTTCCTGGTGCTGGAACATATTTAAACCCAGGCCTTATGACTCAAATTTCTCTATCTGGAAAATGCTATCATTCTAAATGCCTGTTCACTTATATTATTGTTATAAAATGTTTACGCTGTATCAAACTCTAAAACAGGGTGTCTCAACCTTAGCACTACTGACATTTGGACTGGAAAATTCCTTGCCGTTGGGGGCTGACCTATGGCAATGTAGGATGTTTAGAAGCATCCCTGGGTAGCACCCCACACCTCAGCTGTTATACCAAACATGCCTCCAGACATACTGCCAAATGTCCCCTTGAAAATCACCCTGGATTGAGAACCACTGCTCTAAAAGGAAGAAAAAGCCAAACTCCTGCGTGAACTCAGAATGAAACTGTATTGAAAGGAAATTTTGAATCTAATAAATATTTGTACCTTCATGATTCTTTAACTCTATGAGTTTGGGTTAATGTTAGCACCAAGTACCTTACAATTATTGGCCGTGTGCAGAACACTGTACCAACTACACATAAAGTAATTATCCAAGAATTAGGGAAAGAAGGAGTTAGGATAGATCTTGCCCTCTCAACAACTCCACTTCACACCTACTGAAATCCATCCATGCCTGAGAGGAACAGGGCCATGTGAGGCCGCTGAGTGATGAAGGAGATAAGAATATGCCAACCCAATATATGCTGCCCTGGCATATTAACTATTTTGAGCTAAAAGCACTTAAAAAACAGCAGATGCAAGATCATTCTGACTTTCCTTCTGTTTCTTAAAAGCAGGAGATAAAATTCCCCTGTGAAAGACGTCCTCTCTATGCCAGAAGTAAAGTAATATTCTTATCATCAAGGATGGGGGGAAATTGGAAATTGAGGTCAAGGGAAACGTGTACAAACCAACCTTGTTAGACTAATCCTTATCCTCCCAGCCACTTCTCCACCCAATTAACTCAGCCCAAGCCCCTCTGCCGTGTCACACTTTCATAATTCACAACTCCTTGTCTAATTCAGCATATAGTGTTCAACTCTGTGTCTTTGAGTGTTTATTTCTTTTTCTTTCTTTTGAGATGGAGTCTCACTCTGTTGCCCAGGCTGGAGTGCAGTGGTGTGATTTCAGCTCACTGCAACCCCTGCCTCCCGGGTTCAAGCGATTCTCCTGCCTCAGCCTCCCAAGTAGCTGGGACTACAGGCACGCGCCACCGTGTCCAGTTAATTTTTGTATTTTTAGTAGAGACAGGGTTTCACCATGTTGGCCAGGATGGTCTCGATATCTTGAGTTTATGATCTGCCCACCTCGGCCTCCCAAAGTGCTGGGATTACAGGCGTGAGCCACCATGCCCGGCCAAGTGTTTATTTCTTTATGAAGGCTCCCATGCCAAGTGAAACTTGTATTAAATAAGTCTGTATGCTTTCCTCCTGTTGATCTGTCTTATGTCCATTTAATTTTCAGACCCAGCTGAAAAACTCTTAAAGGATACCTCCTCTGCAATGAGAATGATATTTTCAACAGAGCACAGTAGGAACTGAATTCAATGCTGATTTTATTTCAACTAAATAAAGCAATGCACAAGTTATCTGGGCAGCAAGCTTAACTCTAGGAGCAAAAGCCAAGAAACAAGGATTCTTTTTTTCTTTAAATTATCCATCACTACACATGGCTGTCTTCCATACCTGCTCTCAGAAGATGTGTGTTAACAAATTTTATGTAAAGAAATACAGGAAAAGAGAAAAAGGGGAAACGCAATTTATCTAGTCTGCCAGTGAAGGTGGTCTCTCCATCTTCTGTTCTGTAAACTGCTCCATCAGCAGGGTCCACGTCGGAGGATTTTAATATTTTGACCACTTTCCCTGCAAATTGAACAATCATAGAAACACATTTATTACCTACCATACTGAAACTGTCTCATTATTTGTGTTAAGAAGACCCATACAGATATACATTAGATTCCTTCCATGGCTACACGTACTTAATCATTTTTTAAGCTAAATCTAGGAAACAAAGAGGGTGGAAGTCACCAGTCTGCCATTTTTTCCCTAACCCTAGGGCACAGGACATTAACCCCAAACAATCACTCAGAGAGCCGGGCATGCTGGCTCATGCCTGTAATCCCAGCACTTTGGGAGGCCGAGGTGGGCGGATCACTGGAGGTCAGGAGTTCGAGACCAGCCTGGTCAACATGGTGAATCCCCGTCTCTACTAAAAATACAAAAATTAGCCAGGTGTGGTGGCACATGCCTGTAACCCCAGCTACTTGGGAGGCTGAGTCAGAAGAATCGCTTGAACCCAGGAGGCGGAAGTTGTAGTGAGCCAAGATCTTGCCAATGGACTCCAGCCTGGGCAACAAGAGCGAAATTCCATCTCAAAAAAAAAAAAAAATTAGCTGGGTGTAATGACGCATGCCTGTAATCCCAGCTACTCTGGAGGCTGAGGCAGGAGAATAGCTTGAACCTGGGAGGCAGGGGTTGCAGTGAGTCAGACGATAAGTGAAACTCAGTCTCAAAAAAAAAAAAGAAACAGAGAAGACCAACTGAGGTCAAATAATGAATCCCCGCTACGCACAAAGCTGCATACCTGAAGGAGTAGTTGCAGTCACCTGGTCAGGTGTGCTACATGAAGCATATCAAGTATCATTACTTAGCATTCTACTAGGCAGAGTCAGTAAGTTGCACTTCCTGACTAGTAGTACAGGGTGTGCAGATCACCTACACATGCCCTTTGAATTAAAAATAAAATTTAATACTTCACGGAGTTTAACTATTAAATAGACTCTTAATTTTAGGAAATTTCACATTAGTGGGCAATAACATAATTTGATTACCTGGCCTATAGTTGACTAATCACACATCTCATTGTTTAACTTGATCTGAAAAATGCACTGAGGATTTTGCATCTCTTTAACCATCACCCTGAAAACTGAGAACTACCATTATCACTTTTGATTCTTACATCCAAGAAAATAGTCACTACCTCCTAAGTAATCAAAATTCAACAAAAGAAACGAAGAGGCTGGGAGTGGTGGCTCACGCCTGTAATCCCAGCACTTTGGGAGACCGAGGCAGGTGGATCACTTGAGGTCAGGAGTTCGAAACCAGCCTGGCCAACATGGTGAAACTCTGTCTCTACTAAAAATAAAAAATTAGCCAGGCGCGGTGGCGGGTGCCTATAATCCCAGCTACTTCGGAGGCTGAGGCACGAGAATTGCTTGAACCCAGGAGGCAGAGGTTGCAGTGAACCAAGACTGTACCACTGCACTCCAGCCTGGGTGATAGAGCGAGACTGTCAAAAAAAAAAAAAAGAAAGAAAGAAAAAGAAAAAGAAATGAAGAATACTTGGCTAGTCTACAGCTGTAAAATCATGTTACCTGATTTTCATGCACAGAGTACATTCATTGGGGTAAGTGATCATGTCAGTGCCACACACAGGGTTAAAGTCCCTGGGACATCCTGGTAATTGATACCGAGCGCAGAATGGCTGGAAAAAAGAAAGGGACAGAGAAATTCAAGAATGACTTGAGATACACTCATAAAATAGTTTAGAGAAGAAAATGTCCCAGATCTCCTTAGATTTCCTAGAATCATTCAATAAAAATATTTTTATTTTCCAGAAAAACAAATTTTTTTTGAGACAGAGTCTCACCCTGTCTCCCAGGCTGGTGTGCAACGGCACAATCTCAGCTCACTGCAACCTCCGCCTCCTGGGTTCAAGTGATTCTCCTGCCTCAGCCTCCCAAGTAGCTGGGATTACAGGAGTGTGCCTCCATGCCCAGCTAATTTTTGTATTTTTAGTAGAGACAGGGTTTCACCATGCTGGCCAGGCTGGTCTCGAACTTCTGACGTCATCCACCCACCTTGGCCTCCCAAAGTGCAAGGATTACAGGCGTGAGCCACTGCACCTGGCAAAAAAAAATTTTCTAATGCTAAAATCAAATACAATGTTGGTGTGATGGTTCCATACATACTATGTAAAACAAGGACCCCGGCCGGGTGTGGTAGCTCATGCCTGTAATCCCAACACTTTGGAAGGCCAAGGTGGGCAGATCACCCAAGGCTGGGAGTTCGAGACCAGTCTGACCAACATGGAGAAACTCCATCTCTACTAAAAAATACAAAATTAACTGGGCATGGTGGTGCATGCCTGTAATCCCAGCACTTTGGGAGGCCAAGGCGGGCAGATCATGAACTCAAGAGATCGAGACTGAGGCAGGAGAATCAAATGAACCTGGGAGGCAGAGGATGCGGTGAGCCAAGATCACGCCATTGTACTCCAACTCTCCAACCTAAGCAATGAGAGCGAAACTCCATCTAAAAAATAAAAAAATTTTAAAAATTAAAAAAAAAGGACCTCAGAGGCTTCAATCTGGCTGATTTTTAAATGAAAGTCTGAGACACGCCACCATACCTACTTTTTTATTGTCTAGCTTCATAATTTGCACTTCACTACAATGTCCATGTGGATGTTCTATTAAATTCCACCTTAATCCCTTGCCTGAATGCCAAGACAAAATCAGGAATCTAATCTTTCAATCTGAACTTTTAAGGCACTGACATTAAACCAAAAACATTAAAGAAAGCAGGAGATTCAGAATTGAAGCAAATTTGTGCCAAAGGAAAAATGTTCAAAACAGGTTCATCATCTATGGAGGCTCCAAATTTCATCCCACAAGATACTAACTACAGGAAGAGAGTTGAATCTGGGCAAACATTGCCCCACAACTTCCTCTCCACTCTCTGGAAGAGGGCCACTGCACATTTATTATTCCTTAATGTCATTTTAATTCTTATAGAAGGGCGGAGCATGGTGGTTCATGTCTGTAATCTCAGCACTTTGGGAGGCTGAGGCAGGTGGATCACTTGAGGTCAGGAGTTTGAGACCAGCCTGGTCAACATAGTAAAACCCCGTCTCTAGTAAAAATACAAAAATTAGCCGGGTATGGTGGCACACGCCTGTAATCCCAGCAACTCGAGAGGCTCAGACAGAAGAATCGTTTGAACCTGGGAGGCAGAGGTTGCAGTGAACCGAGATTGCACTACTTCACTCCAGCCTAGACAACAAGAGCAAAACTGTCTCAAAAAAATTACAAATTAAAATAAAAATAATTCTTATAGAAGGATATGCTAAAATTTTAAGCAATTCTCTGACCTTTATACTCTAGAGCAGGGGTTTCCAACCATCAGGCCACAAACTGGTACCAGTCCGTGGCTTGTTAGGAACTGGGCCACCTGTTAGCAGGAGGGAAGTGGCTGGCCAGTGAGCATTATCAACTGAGCTCCGCCTCCTGTCAGGTCAGCGATGGCATTAGATTCTCATAGGAGTACGAACCCTATTGTGACATGGGCATGCGAGGAATCTAGGTTGCGCACTCCTTATGAGGCTATTATTTGTTTTTTCGAGATGGAGTTTTGCTCTTGTTGCCCAAGCTGGAGTGCAATGGCGCCATTTCGGCTCACTGCAAGTTCCGCCTCCCAGGTTCAAGCAATTCTCCTGCCTCAGCCTCCCCAGTAGCTAGTATTACAGGCGCATGTCACCATGCCCAGCTAATTTTTTGTATTTTTAGTAGAAATGGAGTTTCACCATGTTAGCCAGGCTGGTCTCAAACTTCTGACCTCAGGTGATCCACCTGCCTCAGCCTCCCAAAGTGCTGGGATTACAGGCATGAACCACCGCACCCGGCCCTTTTTTTTGTTTTGTTTTGTTTTGACAAAGTCTCACTCTGTCGCCCAGGCTAGAGTGCAGTGATACCATCTCGGCTCACTGCAATTTCCGCCTCCCGAGTTCAGGCAGTTCTCCTGCCTCAGCCACCCAAATGGGTGGGATTAAAGGCACCCACCACCACGCCCAGCTAACTTTTGTATTCTTTGTAGAGACTGGGTTTCACTATGTTGGCCAGGATGGTCTCAAACTCCTGACCTTGTGATCTGCCGGCCTCGGCCTCCCAAAGTGCTGGGATTACAGGCGTGAGCCACCGCACCCTGCAGAGACTCCTAACTAATGCCTGATGGTCGGAGTTTCATCCCAGACCATCTCTGCCCACCCCACTCCATGCCTCAGTGCATGGAAAAATTGTCTTCCACAAACTGGTCCCTGGTCCCAAAAAGGTTGGGGACCGCTGCTCTAAAGCTTTTCTCCTGAAAGTTTCTTATATCGTTTACTGGTATAGTCACTCATTTACAGATGTTATGGCAGACACAAAGACAAAGAAAAGTTGGATCCTGACTATAAGGAATTTAGGATGGAATAAGGCAATCAAGAAATACACACGTTGGTCTTGAAGAATGGGTAAAATTTAATATAGAAGGCTGGGAGAATGTCTACCGCAAAGAAATAAAATTGATCAAGCAAAGGCACAGTGGCAAGAGAAGTGGTTGGCATTGGAGTTAACAGTTTAAAGGAATCTCCAAAACTCTTTTATGATTAAAAAAAAAAAAAAAA